CTTAGGGGGGATGGGGGGCTCGGGCATTAGGGCCTGCGGGGGCCTGAGGGGTTGCGGGGCAGGGGCTTAAGCCTTAGGGGCTACGTCCTTGACAATGCTGATTTGACTTTCATAATCTACTTCAAGGAAATGCATAAGTTTGCCTTATGGATCTTGTGTTTTGCATTTTATAATTTTTAGTGGCCACTAGAGATTGCTTTATTTGTTTATGTGTTCAACAGACACACAAGTGGGCGAAGCGTGCACGTAAGGATCCCCTAAAGAACTATAAGCTCTACTACGAAGCGTCTGCTAGTAGGCGTGCCCACGGTGCATTTGAAGAGAGTTTGGAAGAGAATGATGAGGAAGGTGACATTTCTAAGCCTCTTGTAGGGGAGCATGATGTTAATGGCGGCAATTCACAACATTTGGAAGGTGAGGAAGCATTTGTCAACACAATGAGTGGGGCTTTAAACTTATCAACCCGTCCCATAAACATGGCCTCGTCATCTTGACATATAGTGAAGCGCAATAGTAGAAGTGGAGCCCGAGGTGTGGATCTAGAGGCAAAATCTATTTTAAAAAGTGTTGTAACTACGCTGAATCAGCGTCAAAGTAGTCGAGGTACAAGTTCAGGTGCTTCTCAGCGTGTGGAATCCTAGCAATCAACCTTCCAGAAGTGTCAGGCAGTAATTAGTGAGATGTTATTGGACAATGAACAGACTGTGTTGTTCGTGGAGTATATAAATTGGAACCCCAACTGTCAAGAGATGTTCTTGGGCATGAATGATGAACAAAGGTTGTTTTACGCTTTAAGAACATTGAAAACCATACCAAATAATCCAGGACCTAACATGCAGCAACAATATCCATATTATATGAACCAGGGTACACCGTATGTGGGTTCATCTACACATTTTTGCCCACCGGTCCAAAACTTCACACAACAGCAGCCTCCTTTTCCCCCAGTACCCTCTAACCTTAACCCACCACAACCTTCTTTCCAACAGCCTACTCCTACTGGCCAACAACCCCTTCCTAACTACCAAAATTTCTCACCATTCTTCGTGAACCCCCAATTCCCACCCCCACCCGGGCCTTTTGGAGGAACCGGAAGTGATGAGATTTAACTTGAGTGTTTGTTTTCCCAGCGTTATTTCTTTTTCCATTTGATTGTGATGTATTGTCTTTGTTTCTTATCTGGAATAATTGTTTCTCATTTCAATTAGACATTGGCTTTAGCTAGCGAGTTCAGTTTGTGAGTGTGTTTGTTGTAACGTTGTAGACTTGGATTTGAAATGTTGATTTTATGTTATGCATTGTTGTTCATTGAGGCAATCTGTAATATAACATTGTTCATGCTTATCATTTCAAATATTGTTTTGTATCTTGTGGATTGTATTGGCAGACAGGATGTGGAGTGGCGGACCATCAAACGCGGGAAACAATGGTCCACCGGAAGATGACTCTGATGATGACTACATTCTTGAAGCAGCCGCTGCTGCAGTATTCTATACGGCGTACTTGGAACATCCACTTCCGACTCCTAGGAATAATAGCCACTGCACAGGTACACATCGTCTAAGTGATTTGTTAAATGGACACGAGATGGTAATATATAATAAGATTAGGATGGGCAGCGATTGCTTTAGGCGATTGAGTTGGTTACTTGAACAAAAGAATTCATTGAGGAGTATAAGAAATATGAGCATTGATGAGCAATTGATCATTTTCTTGACAATTGTTTGTCAAAGCGAAAGCAATAGAGAGACACAACATCAGTGGCAACACTCGGGGGCTACAATTTCAAAGTACTTCATGGTAGTGTTAAATGTTATATTTCGTCTGCGCCATGATTTTATTAAGCCACCTGACTTTAACCGCATCGATCCACTTATTGAGGCAAGTGGGAACAAGTGCAGACCTCGAACTGAGCGGGAGTTATTTAACTACACTCATTCATTGCTAAGGAATTGTATCGAGCGGACGTTCAGGGTGTGGAAAGCGAGGTTCCGCATTCTAAAGATAATCAACAATTACCCGATGAAGAAACAAGTGAGAATACCTATTACTTGTGTTGTGATACATAACTTCATACGCATGTATCAACATGATGACAGCTTCATAAATCAATACTTACAAGATAGGGTACCCGTAAGTGAAATTGACCCCCTGAACGTGGATGAGGATGTCAATCAAAATCATAACCCAGATCAGAGTACGGAATGACCAAGAAACGCCGCGAGTCGAAGGGAGATGGGTCTTATGAGGGATGAAATAGCGAGAACTATGTGGCAGGCTAATGGTGGAAATAACAATCGCTAAATAAACACGTATCAGTTACCATGTATGAAATATTTATTTTGTAACAGGTAAATCGAGCCATTTGAGGCAATATCTATTTTCTCATTTTTTTTTCCTATTTTTGGAATTTTTTTTTGGTTGTGACAGATAATTTCCTCCTTCATTAATTAGTTACATGAATTAACCTATGAATATGACATTTTAAAAAAATGAGAAACGTGGAATGTTCTTCAATTTGAATAACGGAACTTATTTTTTTTCTTCATTTTATCAGATAAATGGAAGAGAATTGAGATGGTAGTTGGAATAATGAATCTGTGAAATGAACACATCACAGCTCGAATTGTGTGTCAAACTTGTAGTTAAATTGACTCCTAAAACACTAACTCCAATTCCAATTACAATTCCAATCTAGATTCTAACTCTAATCATAACTTTGAAGTGAACACACCCTTAAACTCGAGTTTAGCCCCAAACTCGAGTTCAAACTCGAATTCAAATTCGAGTTCAAACTCAAATTTTACAAAAGAACATAAACTTGAATAAAGTTGTAACTTGAGTTCAAATTTTTTTTGAGTTTTGTTGTAAAAGAACAAGCCCTATGGGTTTTTCAGATCTCGAGTTGAATATAATTTTTTTTTAAATAATTTATGTAAGTGAAAAAAACGCTCATTACGTTCAATAATAGATCACATGAGGATATATTGACTATTTTATTTAAAAAATTAACGCCGTGTTTAATTGAATCTCAATTGTAAAATATTTCTAACGTTAAAGACCCAATTTAAAAAAAAAAAAATTTAAGACCAAATCTACCAATCTTAAAAAGTTGAGGGAATCTCATGCCCAAAAAAAAAAAAAAAAAAAAAAAAAGATTTCTTGTCCATAAACAATTGAGATCACATAAACACCCTTCTACTTATACGGCTATTTGTTTCGTCGTAATCTACAAGTCTTGCACATGTCCTCATGAAACAACACATGCGTGGCAAATACGTTATACATGTACTCCAAAAAGACGCGTTAACAATTCAGATACATATACGGCTATTTGTTTCCTTTTTCATTTATTGAACGAAAAAATTGGTAGATTTAATAAAATCAAAAAATTGGTAGATTTAATTCAAAGGTGAATATTGTTACACTACTTAAGGAGGAAATAAATAAAGTTTCAAGGGATGAAGTGAAAATGTCCAAAAAATTGGGCACCCGAGAAATCAATGTTCATTTTCAATCATCCTTTTATATCCTTTTTAAATTTTTATTTTTCTATGAATGGCAAAAAGTAAAAAACACCCGAAAACAGACCAAACCTTATAAACAAGTCCCAAAAAAGGCCACAACAATACACACATTATTACAGTAAAACACAAACAAACAAATCTCAGTGTGACTCATCTACTTCTTGGGCGCAAATCTGGACTTGATCTTCTGAACCTCCTTAGTCCCAATCTGGAACGCCTTCGTCAGAACATTGTCCGGCACCGGTGGCGACGCGCCGAAGAGCGTGGTAGAGATCGACTGAGTCCCCGGCAGCTGGCTGTTGAAGGCGGAGATTACGGCGGCGGGATCCTTGCCGTTGTTCTTCTGGAAGTGAACCAGTCCCTTCGGGAACGCGAAGATCTCTCCCTTCTTTATCGTCTTCGACACGAGGACGTTGGCGGTGGTTATGAACCCGACGTCCAATTCTCCGTAGAGGACGAAGACGATCTCGGTGGCGCGTGGGTGCGTGTGGGGCGGATTAAGGCCGCCGGGAGCGTAGTCGATGCGGGAGAGGGAGACGCCGAGAGTGTTGAGGCCTGGAATCTTCTGGACGTTCGCTCCCGTCACCAGCGATCCGAAGGTGTTGTTTGTCGCTCCTGGCTTCCCGAGTATGGTGGAGAAGAAGTCGTCCGCGCTTATATTCGCCGAGCTCTTGCACGCGTATCCGTTCACCCTAACCTCTGTTTGGTTCCCAAGAAAATCAGTAAATTTTTCCTCATTGAATTTGTAAATATATACATATATATTTTGTAGGAAGATGTGAGTTCATAAACGAGTTTTTTTATTTTAATATGATTATTTTTAAAAATTTTGTACTGTAATAAAATTTTAAATAATTGGTAAAATGAACGCTCGAACCATTCAAAATTTTTTATTAAATTTTTATAAAAAAAATTTGGTCAAACAAACCTTTTATTTAGTTTCATGGATTTGATTGAGGAAGAATTCATGATTTCAAGGATTAGTTAGCTAAGAAACATTATTAGGTACAGCGAAAGAGAGAAGCAAAGGGCAATTATGGCTACCAATAAGCATAATGACTTGGTAGTTACTTACAAATTACAATCATGATCAAAAAGAATTTGTGTTCCTATTTCATTAATTTGTTTCCAAAAACAGATTTTTTTTTTTTTTTTTGGAAGGGAAAAGAATTAGGTGCTTCCTTTTTAGCTTCTTTCTTCTATCTCAAGACATTAGATTTAAAGTTGTGCAATTAAAGTGAAAAAAAACAAGAAAAAGCTTGAGAAGCAATACCGGAATTGAGATCCGCAACGCAAACATCTTGAAGCAAGTCGGGATCGGCAACGGAGGAGCTCAAGACGGCGGCGAACGCCGTCAAGAAAAGCACCAACATAGTGGTCATGATCGCCGGCTTTAATTGGAATGTAATTGCAGAAAGAACGAAAAAAAAAAAAAGAAAACAATGAAGAGGAGAGGACCAAGAAGAAGAGAGAAGACTTTTCCAAATGAGGAACAAAGAAAAAATGTGCTTGGAAAATTGTGGAATGATGCGGTAGTTATAGGTGGGGCGTGTATTTATAAGGAGAGAGAGAGAGAGAGATGTAACAAGTAAATAATAAGATACTTTTAGAAGGGATATCAGATATGTAACATTTTCAATTTGTTGTGAGTTTAAAGCATGGGATATGCCTACTTGTTATATTATACCCAAAGCAAAGTCATCGCTCAAGGCTTGGTCTTTGTCTGGCCCTCACAGCCTGTTTAGTCTTTGACCCGAATTGTGCGTGAAGTGGAGAACTCCACAAGAAACATCGCGTTGAAAATGAGCGGTTGAGATGCAACAATTGGGTCACTAGTGAGATCATTTAACATTAATCATTCTAAAAATAAACGGCTAAGATGTGACCATCATGTCACACATAAGAGAAGACCTTCCTAAGAATTAGCCATAAATAAACGGTTAAGAATCTTAAGATAGAACACTCTTTTAGACATTATCAAAAGAAAAAACACTTCTTTCTTTTAACTTAGAAAACTTCGAACTATTCATGAAATCACCATTAGAACACGTCTACAACAATAAAGAACACTCATTTAGTATATCATATTCTATTTCCTTTTATTTTGATTTTTTATATATTTTCATTTTTTTGACTAAAAACATAAATGTTAAGGGACTAAGTAATTTGTTAAAGGGTTGGATTTTTTTTTCGAAAAAAAAAAATATGGAGAGAGAAAATGGAGAGTCACTTTAGATTAGGCAATGAGTTGAGGGTGTCCTCTCCCTTTTTTCTTTTTCTTTTTTTTTTTTTGTCTTTTTCTTGATTTGCTGATGAAATGCCTTTAGCTTTGCCTTTTTCAGTGAAGCATCCATAATAGTTGGTCTGTCATTGTTTGACAACAAATGGATGCTCCCAAATTCTGCAGGTGTATTCACTCGGTTTCAGCTGTGAACGATAATAGTAAAGAGAAAGGAAAAGATCTTGATAGTTTTGGTGGCTAATGTAATCTTGCCAACACTTATTAAGTTGTCCAGTAATTGGTTGGGGATGAGTGTACTACAAGAAAAAAGGGTTTTTGTGAGGACCATGTCATCGCAAATAAGATTTTTTACGACGACATGTCGTCGCAAATTTGTCGGCGCAAATAATTCGTCACAAAAACGTTTTTTGCGACGACATAGTGTCGTCGCAAATGTATTTACGACGACAATCATCGCTAATACGTCGTTGTAAATTTCTCGTGATATGATCCATTTTTTGCGACGACATTTCAAATTGTCGTTGCAAATAATCTTATTTTTTTGCGACAATAAGTCTAAAAAAGTTGTCGCAAAAAACCGAAATTAATTTTTTTTATAATTTTTAAAAAATGACAATTAATTATTTTTTAATATTTTTAATTTAACATTATTATGTTACATACTGAATAGAATTTGTTAAGATACATTAAAAGTGAAATATAAATTAATATTAAAAACAGTAAATCTAAATAAATTTATAAAATATATTTGAATACTACATGAAGTGCATATATAATGTTCAAAAAAATATAAAAGTCTAAATAAACTGAAAAATAAAAAAGCACATATAACAAAACTAATCGTCTAAGTTTGCAGCTTCGCCAGCATCTGAATCATCATCAGGACCGTCATCATTTGAAGGAGGCAGATGAGCGTCTAGGTCAACTAGTTTTGGACGATCAATCGTAGGTAATTGGATGTTGTGCTGTAATTTAGCCATCAACTCTAACACCTTCACCTGATATGGCCACTTGAAGTTTCATAATTTTTGGCGACCTCAATAAAAGTAGATAACCCATTCCAATATTCATCTGACAATCGGTTCCTCAAATAAATCTAACTTTTGTCAATCGACATTTCAACTATACACAACAACAGACATAACAATTTATTAATGTGTTTAATGAATTTTAATTTTAGTCTTTATTAACACAATTAAATTTTATTCATTACAGTTTGTTAATGAACTTATTAAAATTCTCGTTTTCTGACTAAATTTTGGCAACATAATGGCTTATTTTTCTTATGATCCAAAAATCTAAACCTGCAGGAAAAATAACTTTAAAAGATTTCGGCACACCACCCAGAACAAGAATCACAAACATATACTAAATTTCAACAATATAAGAAAATCATAGTTCAAATATCAAAATCATAATCCTGAATTCATACAACCAAAAACTACAACAATTTTAAACTAAAAGTACAATAAATATAAAAAACTTACAAAGTTCAAACACACTAAACGGAGGCTGAAAATAGCGAGATTACGTCGGAGGAACCGGACAAACAGCGACAAAGGCCAAAAATCAAACGCCTACATCAAATTGAAACATCAAACATAATTTAAAGTGACCGAAATTAACATTTTATTAACATCTAGAGTAACATATTTAAATACACAAAAAAATTTCATTCCTCGGCATTAAATCTAATTATGTTAACAAATAATGTAAATTAATAAATTAACCACCAGTTCAAAAATAATTCTAAATTAACGTCATAAATTAACATTTACACAGCCTCATAGTAAATGTTTAGAAACTTCATTAAAGACATTTTTACAAACACTTTACAAACAACTCAACAAAACACATAAAAACAATAAAAAAAGTTACTGGAGTGTGTAAAACATACCGGTAAACGTCGAACGGTGAGGCGGCGACGGGCAATTCGGCAGGGCGGCAGCGGAATTCGGCTAGTGGTGAGCAAGGGAAGAGAGAGAGAGAAGGGAAGAGAGGGAGAGAAGGGAAGAGAGAGAGAGAAGAGGAGAGAGGAGTTGTAACGCCCTGAAGAATTAATTGAGATTAATTAAGGTAATTGAGATTATTAGTGTGCCTAATCTGGATTATTAATTGAGTATTAATTAATAAATATTTCTCACACATGTGAGTTTAAATAGTTCCAAGGTATTTAAATTATTCTCAGTAATTTATTTTAACCCAGAAGTGTGTATTGGCGCATTTCTGGACTGCTCTTTTAAAATATTGTACACATGCCCTTTTCTTTCCTTTTCCTTTTCGTTCCTTTTCATTTTCTTTTCTTTTTCCTTTTTTCCTTTCTTTTTCCCTTCATTTCCCGTGCGTCTCTCTCCCTCAATCTCCCATGCTCACTCTCACTCTCTCTCTCTCTCTCTCTCTCTCATTTTTATCCCAAATCAAACGGATCTTGAACCAAGGAAAGATTTAAAGAAGTTTTCAACGTCAAGAGAAGGATTCGAGGTAAGATTACTGAAAGAACCTCTCTTGAATCTCAAAACTTATTTTTGGTTCAAACCGGATTTTGATGGTTTTTGAGTAAAACTAGGGTAGAAATTGGAGATCTTGGGTTCTTTGGACTTGTTTTAGGACCTAGAACTCAGATCTAGTGGTTTCCCTTTGAAATATTTTAATTTGGGACTGGATTTGCAGGTTTTTGGACTGATTTCCGCGAGCTTCTCTCGCACAGCTGATTCCACCGGTCGACCTGTGCGGTCGACCGGATCACATGGAAACCGGTTGACCTATGCGATCGACCGGATTGCAGGCTGACCGGTCGACCAGTGTCCACACTACCGGTCAACCGGTAGTGTTGCACTGCTCTGTCACCGGTCGACCGGTTGACACGGGTTTGACCCTGTTTGGCCTGAAAATGTTGTTTTGGCCCATGTTTTCATGGAGAACCCAAATTAGCTTCATTTGGGGACTTGAGATGAATGGATTAGCATCTTTAATCCTTATTTTGAGATTGAAAACCCTTGAAATGATAATTTAAAACATGAAAATGAATTAGGGCACACTAATAGGAAATCTTGGTTGGAAATTGAGATTTAGATTGCTTTAGGAATGAGAATTAATCCTAAAGTGTTGTCTTACATCAGTGATCGCTGAGGATTCAGACTGAAGGGGCTTGAGGAAGCGGAAGCCAGAAAAGGCAACGCTAGTCCCAGGTTTGATAGTGCGAGGTAGGATTTCTATCCCTTTTCTTTGTGAGCCTGTTTTCAAAAAGGAATTTGGCCTTGAAAATGTTTTAAAGAAAGAGATTGGTTTGTGAAAGAAAAATGCTTTAAAAACTATGGCTTGTTTAGTCATGGAACCTTATGGCTTGTCCAATCATGGGGCCCGCGGCTTGAGTAGTTCGTAGGGTCATATTAACTATTTCAAAATGTTAATGAATGATTTCTTAATAAAGGGATCTTGTGAACCGGTAAGAGAGTCTATTGCTGTAAGCCTAGATAGGATGCAGAGAGTGCATCCTCAGGGGCAGAACCCGAAACTCAGTCCGGGTAGGCGAGGCACTTGGTTAGGTAAGTAATTTGTACTAATTACTTGCTGAAGCCCGTAATATGGAGATTTTACATTTATTTCCTTTGAGAAAAATGATGTGAGGTTCCGACTGTTCCGTCGAGACTGAATGTCTAATTTTATTTACTTATTCATTCATTCATTTACTCGCTCATTTATTTATTCATTTATTTTAAGTCATTTCAAATTATATCCTCCTGGGCCTTTCGCTCACATTTTATGTTTCAAATGTATTAAACCCCTCCCAGGAGACTCTAGGAGCGGTGCAGGGTAGCGAAAGATTGCTACTATTGGATCAAGTGAGGGTTGGGTTCATCCTCTTGAATAAATGTAAGGAATTTGAGAATTCTGTAACTTATGTAATATTTGGATTAACTAGACTGTGGTTGATGTCTGTTGTAATGATTATTTACATGAGCATGTATGTACGATACTGTATGTCCTGTGGGGTGGAGCCCTGTGTGTCAGAGGCTCCAGAATTCTGTAATTTATTTATATTTTAATGCAGTTGAGTGGGGCTCGTCTGAGAATCTGCTTTATTAACCCCTAATCGAGCTCCACGTCACCCACCCCGTTTGGGGGGTGTGACAAGAGGGGTATCAGAGTCCTAGGTTAAGAAACCCCAGGATTGTACATACATGTGTGACATATGTAATCGACTGAACAGTCTAGTGTTATTTCAGTTAAAGGAAATGGCACCTTGCCGTAGACCCGCTAATCAACCGGTACAACAGAATCAGGGATTCCTGGATGCCATGTATGCTGCATTTCAAGGCATGACCACTAGAGCTCAAAACGAGCAGCCGGTTAAGGATA